CAAAGGGGAGTGGCTGTCATTGACAAAAAGAAAAAGAGTCAAGGCTCTTACTCCTGGCAGCAGTGCTCTCTCACACAGAGCTGACGGGAAGACGAATTATACAGCCTCTCCTACAGAGCAGTGTGTTACATCTTTTATATTTATATGTGCCCTTTGATCCACCGAGGGACAATTCAGTTCTCCTAAATCTGTCCCATACAGGTAAAATTGCTACAGAAAGGCTTCTATAGAAGGCTTGGTTTTAGTAGCAAAAGAAAGATTCACATACGTGTGTGTATGTGTGTGTGTGTGTGTGTTGTGTTTATGTGTGAAATCTAGAAAAAATTTCCCACAGTTAAAAGTTGCTGGAAAATTAGAATAAACATGTACTATAGAATATTTTTCCATTACTAAAAAGACTAAATCAGCTGGGCACAGAGGTACACACCTATAATCCCAGATACATGAGAGGCAGAAATTGGAAGGATCGCATTTCAAGGTCTGCCTGGAGAAAACATTAGCAATACCCCATCTCAACCAACAAGCCAGGCATAATGTACATGTCTGTGATCGCAGCTATGCAGGAGCTGTAGATAGGAGGATTGCAGTCTGAGACAAGCTGCAAGCAAAAATGCACAACTCTACCTGGAAAATAAAGCAGATGGGGGTGGGTGGGTCTGGAGGTGTAGCTTAGGTGATAGAGCACCTGCCTAGCAAGTGCAAGGCTCTGAGTTCAAATCCCAGAATTCCTGTCCCCCAAAAAAGAATAAATCAGAGCTATACCTTCTCAGGAAGACCTGGAGAAAATGTATAAGATATTGTTGAATGAAAATGGTGAGATGCAGCAAAGAACATAAGGCAAATAATTAGTAAAGGAAAAAGCTATATATCCGTCACATGAGTATACAGTATGAGAATTAGGTCAGGAGGGTTCTGTGAGTGGAGAAACATAAAGGGAGCACACTAGGCTGTTGATAAACAGTGAGGGGTTGCAGGGTGCGGGGACGTGATGGAGAGCTAGCACAAAGGAAATGATTTCAGTTTTAGAAAGAGGTAGGGTGAAAGTGTATTGGTGTATTTATATAAGACTAACCAGGAGTCAGTGAAGCACAGAACTTCTTTTTAAGAAATCACCACTTGGAGTTCTTTGCCCCTTGAAAATTTGGTAACTTACGCTTTGGTTTGTGGTTTGTTTAGAGAAGTCAGGTAAGTACAACCTAATTAGTCAGCTCACAGTTGGTATTATTATTTCTCAATTAAAAATATACCTAGTTTAAGAATAACATGTGTGATCCTCCAGTTTTTATTTTTCAGTGACATTTAAAATATAAGTCTTATGAATGTTGCATATTTTAGTTTAAAATATGTGTAGACTGCACTTTTTTTAATGAGGTAATTTCCATTTGAAACCTGTATCACTCATTCTTTTAACCTACTATTTTCTTAGTCACTCAATATACATTCTAACTATTCTCTTCTAGTTTCTTGCAGACATGGAAAACAATGCACTTTTTCGGGATGACATAGAATGTCAGAAACTCATTATGGAAGCAATGAAGTATCATTTATTACCAGAGAGACGACCCATGCTACAGAGTCCTCGGACAAAACCTAGGAAGTCGACTGTTGGTACATTATTTGCTGTCGGAGGAATGGATTCAACAAAAGGTATTCAATGTCTTTTATTTGGAGGAACAGAAACAAAGAAATTTTAATAAGTAATGTGTATGACCAAAGAGGTCTTAGAGAAATGACTGGTTGCAAGACAAGGGCAAGAAAAGAATAAAATGATCCCAGAATATAACACTAGTGCCAGAAAGAAAGTGCTCAAGGAATGATGGAGACAGGTCAGAGATACAGGAAGCAGCTGTAGGAGCTCCCATTGCCTATACCTGGGGTAGTTTCGGCATCAATGATAGTAAAAGATTATAACTTATTAAATCAGTAGGTTTCCCAGAGTTCACACTAAGACAAATAAGGAATGGAGAAGGGAAGACAGTAGAGTACAGCAGAAAGAAGGGTAGTTAGAAAATTAATCATTTGGCAACCATCAAAATACAGTCTGAGCATCTCTTTCTAAAAGTCTGACATCCAAAAAGCTCCAAAATTTAGAAACTCCTGGAGCAGCCATGACACTCAAGAACTTCAGATTTTGGAGCATTTTAGACTTTACATTTTTGGATTAGGGACATTCAACCAGGAAAGTCTATCTGAAAACCTCCATTTAAGATACTTCTGGTCCCAAGCATTTTGAGTAAGAACTCTTCAACCTGTGATATGACTCAGTCAGCAGAATTCCGTGCATGCTGAGACCGTGGGGTGGAAGTTGGAGAGCGGAATGTTCTGTGTCAAAGTATCTCCCAGCCACATGCTTGTTAGTTACAAGGAGTGAAGCAGCATCTTTGCAATGGAGAACACTGGCCCGCACCACTTAAGGGAATGACCAAAGCTAATGTTGCCAGTGACGAGACGAAGCAGCAAGCAGCAGTGGCTCTGACAGGATGCACCTTCTTTCCAAAAGTGTACAACTGAGGCATGAGGACGAAAGAAAGCTGAGCTGAGAGAAGTTCCACAGAGTAACCCGCCTGTCTGTCTGTAGTATTCATAACGCCAGTGTCATGGAATACAAAAATAAAAAAAAGATTCAGGCATTGTTCCAGATTACTGGAGGGTAATGCAGCATCTTGGGTTTTCTCTGCTGTAAAGGTCATAACTGAGACAAATGACAAAACTCAAGTAAGACCTGTAGGTAGGTAATCACATTGTAAAATGTTTATTTCCAGTTTGGATGATCATATTGTGTTTTTAGAATTATTTGTTCTGAGGAAGATAACTTGGTCATCATTTCTGTAATTTACTCTTCAGGAAAAAAATGCATGCATATATAGAAAGCAAAAACATAAGCATTTGGGAAATCTTGCTCAAGGCATCTGGGAATTCTTTTAGTAGTTGATCCTAGTGGTAAAAACAACAGCAATCAACCCCACACATAGTGCCTGCTGGCTGCCAGGTATCATGCTAGTTACCTCTAGGTGCATGTCCATCTCCCCTCGTCCATATTCCTAGTACAGTAGTCTGCAATTCCATGGCAGTGCCTCTCTGAATTTGGTTACCTGTGTATCTCAGCTCATTCTACTCCTTCCCTCAGTTTCATTGGCTTTTTTGGTGTGGTATTTTTTTGGCAGCATTGGGGGGGGCGAGGTTATTTTGTTTTGTTTTGGGAATACTATGGCTTTGTGCCTGCGAGGCATGTGCTCTGCACTTGAGCAAGGCCTTCAGCTCTTTTTGTTTTAGGTTACTTTTCGGATAGGGTCTCACAGTTTTTGCCCAGGCTGTACTGATCCCTAATCTTCCCATGTAGCTGGCACGACAGACATATACCACCATGCCCAGCATATTTATTGAATGGGGTCTCACTAACTGGGCTAGCCTCAAATCATGACCCTCCTGATCTCTGCCTCCCATGTAACTGGGATTACAGGCATGAGCCACCACACCCAGACCCCATTGCCCTCTTTGTTTATCTAACATGCCAAATACTTTAACCTGCATTAGGGTACTGTGGCAGATCTTCTCTGTAGCTGGAACACTCAACCCCTGGTAATAACGTTCCTGTTCACTCAGACTTCCTCTCAAGTGTCAGCTCACCAAAGACCTTTCCACGGCCATTCAGCAGCAGTCTCTCACCTACCCTTTCTGGCCTTGTACCTACCATTTTCTATCTCCGTAACCTGGATTATGTCCTTCATAGCACCTGACACATTTCTTACCAGCTGTGTGTCACTTCCCAGCCCAGCAAGCTCCAGAAATCATGGCATTTGTTTTGTTCACTAATATTCCCAGAGCCTAGAACAATGCCTTGCACATAGACTGTATCGGTAAATATTTGTCATGTGATTGGGGTTTTTTTTTTTTGCCATCTTGTGAATTACTTGTTTGACTAAAGCCCTTGCTGCATTAATCACACTTAAAGGTTTCTCCCTTGTGTGTTATGTTGAAGGAATATAGAATTATGAGTTCTAATTAAAAGCATTATATTGTCACTACTTTTAGGTTAGTGGCAGCAAAGACTAGATCTCTATCTAGTCCTATCCCTATCTCTATCCCTATCTGGGGATAGGATGTAACTTGCCTAGCACGTGCAAGGTCCTGGGTTTAATACCTCGCACTGAAACAAACAAGGTCTGTGTGTGTGTCATCATAGACCTCTATAGATTAGTGTAATGATGCTTTATAGTTTTCATCTTACTTCATCCTCTCAGTAGCATTCAATATGCTAGCAGACCCTCTTGCTGTACACTTTTAACACTTTGTACAGTTTGAACCTTTGTCTTCCATGACACAGAACTCCCTACTTTTCTCTCACTTCTGAGTGTTGCTCTTCAGCCTCTTTTACAGCTAATCCTTATCTGCCTGACCTTGAAATGGTGGGGCCTCACATGTGCCCTGGAGGATGGTAGGAGATGAGGTTACAGAAGTAGGCAGGGGCCAGATCATGCAGAGTCTTCATGGGCTAGAGCAAATGTATTTTTGTTGATGCTAATAAAATTGTACTTCTGTATGTATATTTTCACATGATAGACAATAGTGGTGAACTTTTATTGACATAACTTCTGTGTATTACCATTAAGGAGCAACAAGCATTGAGAAGTATGACCTCCGTACAAACATGTGGACCCCTGTAGCGAATATGAATGGGAGGAGGCTGCAGTTCGGTGTTGCAGTGTTAGATGACAAACTGTATGTGGTTGGGGGCAGAGACGGGCTGAAGACTTTGAATACTGTAGAGTGCTACAACCCCAAAACAAAAACCTGGAGTGTGATGCCTCCTATGTCTACACATAGACATGGCCTGGGTAAGTGTCACTGTAGATTGATTCATGATCTCATAAATGAGGCTCCACAGCAGGGTGCCTCCTGTACCAGGCAGAAGACGACCAGCAGCATGGCAGCTGAGTTGACAGCAGCATCGCCACTCATTCCTTCCATCCTCCTGTTACTTGAGACACAGAAGCAAAAACAACGTGCATGTCCCTAGATGTGGCAGCACACAGTACAAGTAAAACATGGGTCTGAGGTACCCAGAGTAGCCTGACGGTCTGACAAGCCACCTTTTGTGTATGTGCTCTGTTTTGACAATTGCTGTTACCCAGAATGCTTATTAAAAATCTTTGGCTTTATTTTTTCATACATGTGTCTATATCTTCTGGTTTTCAAGCAGGTATGAGTGAAAGTGCAGGCAATTTTGGAGTAGTGCAGAAATAACTTTCTGTTTTTGTTGTACCTCAAAACACTGCCTCTGAAACGTTTACCACCAAAACTATGGGGCTATTTGAGCCTCACCCACTTGCCACTGAGGACAGCAGTGGCACACACACACTTTCCACTGGTTAACTCGATGTTTGAATGTACTGTGCTGACCCTTCCACCAAAGTGTGATGTGTGAGATAGTACAAGTGAAGTCATCACCTGTCCTGTCTCCTTGCAGGTGTGGCTGTCCTCGAAGGCCCCATGTACGCAGTGGGAGGGCATGATGGCTGGAGCTACCTGAACACAGTGGAGAGATGGGACCCTCAGGCTCGCCAGTGGAACTTTGTTGCCACCATGTCCACCCCGAGGAGCACAGTAGGTGTAGCAGTACTAAGTGGAAAGTAAGGAAATACTTTTAAGTTCTATTTAAATCACAATAAACCATGCTGGTGCACATCTATAATCCCACCAGATAGGGACATGGAACTCAGTAGAGCACACATGGACGCTGCCCGGGCAAAAAGTTAGACCCCATCTCACCCAACAAAGTGGACATGCTGGTGTGCACCTGTAACCCCAGCTATACAGGAGGCCTAAGGAGAAGGCAGGCAAAAATGTGAGACCATATCAGAAAAATAACTAAAACACAAAGGGCGGGGGATGTGGCTCAACTTAAATATCTCAACGTTAAGCTAGGTTTTCATTCTCATGTGCAGATGCTAGACATTTCTAGTTACCATTTTTAGTGAAATTTAATGTCAGTATCCAATGTTAAATTCTGTAGTAAAAATCTAATGATGATATATCTTTAGGATTAGATGATCTTTTAAAAGTTCTGTAGTCTCTGTCAGTGTCTCCCATCTTTTCTGCTGATCTGTCTTTACGTTTGCTTCGCTTTTTGTTATCTTGGTAAACTGGGAACCCAGAATGGATTTAAGGAAAGGTGCTGCTTGCCTCTTGTCAGATTTAGATAGGGCTTCTGTTCTACCCTAGCCCTCACGGCTCAGAGACGAGGTAGGCATCTTCTCCAGTTGTCCTCCTCCCCAACACATGGCCCTCCATGGTTGTGAAACAGGACTTTAAGTTTCAGTCCCTTCACATTAACATGGTTTCTAAAAGAGGAAGGAGTCTAGGTTATAATAGAGATGTAAAGTGATTTGTACAATTGTGCTCTAAGAAAAATGGGAAGATATTACTAAAAATGTTTATATTTTATGACCTATGATCTGTGTCCTTGGGGCATATCAGTTAAGTTCTACTTTTTCTTATTTTTAAAGCAACATCATAAGGGACATGATGGATATAACCATTTTTAATGTATTTGATTTCCAGGACCCCCCCCTCATTTATTTTATCTAAAGAAGTAACTTAAAAATTTATTACTGCAGCCAGATGCCATAGACTCACGCCTGTAATCCTAGCTACTTAGGAGGCAGAGAACAGGAGGATCACGGTTGGAAGCCAGCCTGGGGAAATAGTTCAAGAGATCCTACCTTGAAAAAACCCAACACAAAAAAGGGATGGTGGAATGGGTCAAGGTGTAGGCTCTGAGTTCAAACCCCAGTACTAGAAAAAAAAAAAATAAAATCATTACTGTACATCCTTATTAACCCAGTGGTAGAAGAATCAGCCATCAGAGAATTGGAAAACAGAAAAACTAAATGGTTGCTTCTCAATTTTGACCTTTTAGTTTAAACTTCAGAGATGAATTCCTGGGCTAATTTTGCTCAGTAACACATTTTTCTCCCTTATTTTTTAAAAGAATACCTCCCTTCATCTCCAGACCTGTGGTAACCAAGGCTTCTAAGCATAGCAACATCTTGCTTCCTTACCTTTCCTTTCCTCTCATGACAAATAAACATTTCATATTTTAACACCCATAGTACAATTAGTTGAATATAATTCTAAGACTTCCTGATAATCATCTTAGGGGCTAATGATCTTTAATTGATTAAATATTAGGAAATTTATTTTCTATCATGTTTATTTAGATTTGCAATTGCTCAGGCTATCTTTAAGCCATTGAGTGGCAAATATTTTTTGCAGTAGAAACATCTCTTTTAAGTGAAATCTTTCAAAAACCTCAATATTCAAGGCAAATAGAGGTTAAGGTCTATACTAAACTTATTTTACTTGAAGTTCAGATTTATAATTTTTGCTTATAAAAATCAATGTAGAAGAATAAATGAGTTTTAAATTCTACTCATTTCTATATATTTTAGTTGTCCAGCATGAAGAAATCCTGAATCACAATAGAGGCTGAAATAATTAAGTTATTTTAACTACTAGAGCAATTTAATTGGAGTTTCAGGAAAGTCCTCCATTTGCTCAAATAGTTTGACAGTAGCAGGAATTGTTTTCTAAGTTGAATCTCAGCCTATCTCAACTACTTACATTCATCATAATTTAAAAGTCAGTCAAGGACTTGGAGGTGTGGCTCAAGTGGTTGAGTGCTTGCTTTGCAAACACAAAGCCCTGAGTTCAAGTTTCAGTCACACACACACACACACACACACACACATACACACACAAAAAGTCAGTCAAGGTCTAAATCTTATTTTAAAATACGTACCCGGGCATCGTGGCTCATGTCTATAATTCCAGCTAGTCAGGAAACAGAGATCAGAAGGACTGTGTTTTGAGGACAGGCCAGGCAAAAAGTTAGCAAGACTTTCAACAATAACAAAAAAGCTGTCCATGGTGGCTCATGCCTGCAGTCCCAGCTATGGCAGGAGGTACATATAGGAGGCTCGGGACCAAGGCCATCTGAAAAATAACTAAAGCAAAAAGGACTGGGGGCATGGCTCAAGCAGTAGAGGGCCCTGAGTTCAAACCCCAGTACCACCAACAATAAGAAACTAAATAAAAATTAAGATACATAGTACAGTTTATCACAAGTTGATATTGCTATTTTTTATTGTAATTGGTACTGTCATGGGGAAGAGAAGTGAGTTCTCAGTGTTGCATGACATTTGAGTCAGGTGATATTTTTGAAAATTATTAAACGTGAATTTCAAATGAACCATTTTTGGACTTGCATTTCCTTTGCAAAATCCTATTCCTAGAACACGGTTTCGAGACCATTGCTTGAGATGAAGTTTCTTCAGAAAGTGATACCAATATGTTTTCACCCTTAGTATTCACTCAGTGTGAATGTTGTTCGTTCAGTTGAAGATCTAAAAATGCCTGTTTCTAAAAGAGCACAAGTAGAGACAGAATTGGTTTTTCCTGTCTGACCACTTACACCTGCTTGCCACATGCTAAACACTATGCAAAGTACTGTAAGGTGAGTCACTGCACTGTGCCATTTTTCTCTTTGAGACCCATGTTCATAGGGTAGGGTGCCTTGAAGCCTATCGGGGGATCTATCTACTCTAAGACACACTTTACTATCTAAAATTGCAGTGGGTCTTACAGTCAGTGCTGACTTACAAGAAGATACCCTTCATGTGCCCATCATTGCTTCCTGTGCCCTTGATGTTTTCTTTCTCATGTGTCACAGAGTCACACAATACATACATTTGTCATTCAGTTGGTAGCATGTTTTCTTTCTCAATGACACTGAAATTGAATGTGTCTTAGAATTGATGGCAACTTCAATTCAATGAAATACCATAGCTTCTTATCATTATTTTTTAGAGCAAGAAAATTAGCTTTATTTAAAAAAAAATCTTGTAAAATTCTACATCTTGGAGAATAATTAAATATCAGGAAAAAGGGCATTTGTATTGAAGATAAAAACTATACTGCCAGCCAATATTTTACAGTAAGCAAAAATAAACATTAAGCCCATGAAATATTAAAATTTCTCTTTTCATCCAAAGGAAAATGATGTTTTGTTTTCCTTTCCATATGTTTTGTTTTTGTTGTTTTTGCTTTTGACTGTACCAGGAATTGAACTCAGGACCTCACACTGTCTATGCAGGCATTCTGTTATTTGAGCCACTCTGCAAGCTCTCTTTTGCATCTGTTGTTTTTAAGATAGGGTCTTAATTTATATCCCTGGCTGATCCAGGTCAAGATCCTTCTATTTGTATTTCCCTTAGTAGCCAGAATGACAGGCACACTCCACTGTGCCCAGCTGTGGTGGAGTCCACTCTACCCAGCCATTGTTGGAGATGGGATCTTTCGAACTTTTTGTCTGGGCTGGCCTGATACAGTGATCTTCCTGATCTCTACCTCCCAAATAGCTAGGATTACAGGTATGAACAACTGTGCCTGGCCTGGTCTCTCCATATTGTTTATTTCCTTTTATTTTCTCCTATCATCAAAAGTTACATTTTTGTCCTTTCATTAGTATCTGGCAAATTGATAGCAACTGTCCCTTATCTTTTTATAAATCTTTGTTTTTTGATATGGAAGCTCAATCTTCCTGTAGTTTTTTTTTTTAATTCATTTATTCACATGTGCATATATTGTTTGGGTCATTTCTCCCTCCTGCTCCCCACCTCACCCTCTCCCCTCCTCTCCTCTCGCTTCCAGGCAGAACTTGTTCTGCACTTCTCCAGTTCAGTTGAAGAGTAGAAATAACAATAATAAGAAACATATAGCGTTTTTGCTAGTTGAGTTAAGGATAGTTATACAGAGAAATTCCTAGCATTGCTTTCATGTACAAATGTGTTACAACCCAGGTTGATTCATCTCTAACTGGTCTTTACACTGGTTCCTGATCCCCTTCTTATGTTGAGCTTTGTCACCTTAAGGTTTCTGTATTAATTCCTCTGGAGTGGGGACATCAAATGCTTTCATGTTTTGGGGCTTCTTATCTTAAGCATGACAACAACACTACTTATTTATCATTTCATTTGTTCTATTATAGACTTTATGCAGTCGGTGGCCGTGATGGAAGTTCGTGTCTCAAATCAGTAGAATGCTTTGATCCTCACACTAATAAATGGACACTGTGTGCACAGATGTCAAAAAGGAGAGGTGGTGTGGGAGTAACAACCTGGAATGGACTGCTGTATGCCATCGGAGGACACGATGCTCCCGCCTCCAACTTGACTTCCAGACTCTCAGACTGTGTAGAGAGGTAATTTCCTGAGAAAGAAAACTAGGAACAAAGAGTCAAACACAAGTCTTTAATACATCCTCCCAAGTTAATAAATGTCGAGCATCCATCAATGCAGGGTGGTTCTCTGGGAACCCTGAAAATACCAGGTTGAATACACTGGCCATCTCTCCTTGTCTCCACAGCCTACTTGGATCGTTCTTATATTACTGCTTGTTCACTTAAACTTTAGAATTGAATGCATCAGTTATTAACTGACTCATGGCAAACCCTTATTGTGTGCCTATTTTCTACTAGACACTGCACCTAGTCAAAAAAGAAGTGGCGCTTGATGAATTTCAGAGAGAATGAGTTAGGGAGTGCAGCCTAAAAATTGAAAAGGATAGAGACATAGCTGACCCATGTGATTATAAAATGAAATAACATAAAAAATAAAGGCTTATAATAAATCTTATGCCTTAACCAAGTCATCCAGACTGGCCACATGAAACTCAGCTTTTGGTAGGTCAGGTCCTTTATCTGATATTGACATGTTCAACCTAGTTTAAGGAGTGGGGAGAATTTACTATATTTTGGAGGTAGAATAAATCAAAGCATGTATCAGTGCTCCAAAGCAGAAAAGAACCTGGCTCCTACAAGAAACTGAAAGGCAGACTTTGTAGCCAGAGAACAAAGAGTAATGGAGAGCGTGTCAGAAGTGGAAGCAGAGTGGGTGAGGGCGATCACATAGGGTCTCATGACATTATATTAAGGGTTTTGTATTTTAAAAAGGAGTAGGGAGTTAATGAGTGCCAGTGTCCCTCTGGGGGACATGATCAGATTTCTTAAGGTTAATGCCATTAAGTAAGTTGTAAGTGACTAGAAGAAGTGGGGAAAGGTTTGTTGATAACGAGCATTCTCTGTGGTAGACTTGGTTGATTTTCAAGAAAGCAGTCAAGTTACACCTGAGTTTCATCTGTATTGGCGAGAAAACAGTTCAGACTATGCTTGTTGCATGGTATAGTCCAGGAATGGAAAAGGGGAATCTTTGTATACTTTGCTCATAATTTATGAGCTCATTGCAATACCATATCCAGTGAAAAGGCAAACACAGAAGGTCATCTTTAATGAATGTCATTGGAATTTTGATGGGAATTGCATTAAACATGTAGATTACTTTTGGGAGTATTGACATTTTTACTATGTTAATTCTACCAATCCATGAGCATGGGAGATCTCTCCACTTTCTATAGTCTTCCTCAATCTCTTTCTTCAGAAGTGTATAG